GCTTTACTACCGTACATAAGAAACTGTCTTCAAACAAAAAGTTTTTATTAACAACATTTTAAAAAGTAGCTTTTAGAATTATAAGTGTGCCCACTCCATATTCTTAATTTGTATTAGGTTTCTGTCTTCAAGGTCTTACCGGCATTGACAAATTAATTTATCATTGTAATACCACTGAGAAATAGGCAAGCAAGTTAAACTGGAACAGTGTTTACTTAGGATTACAATTCCTCTGTTATTTAAAAAGAGTTAGCAGAGATTGCAATAATTAGTCTGAAAACAGATAGCAATAGGCATAAGAACAATATGTAAAAGAGGCAACAAGAAGTGCCTTGGAAATCTGAGAGGATAGCCCTAATGGAGCCTGATGGTCTGTTCCCAAGAGTATTTTCACGGGGCATGTTGTAGGAGGGCATGATGTGGTTTTAAAGGTCACAGTCATACATGGCTGTACCTGCCGTAAATCTGCACCCAACTGTCTGGATTCTCTTCATATACTTCTACAGACTCTTCAAAGAATGTTCCGTTAATTTATCCTTCCCCAGATGAAGAAGTCGTATACCATTTTTCTGTCTCGAAATTACCATTTCTCCTTTCAGATAATTCACTCCTTTCCACAGAGTGTGAGAAGGTAGCCAATTCAGTTGATTCTAGGTGTGTTGCCCATGCTCTGGAAATTTTCACTTCTAAGCTTTTATTTTGTATTTTGCCCAGACTGTTAATTTAGTTATGTGACAAGTTTCCCAAACCCTTACCCCTTTTACATGGAATATCTCTTAAGGGTTGAGATCCAAGATAGGATAATGCTCAGGGTCTGGTAACTACACCAGGGTTTCAATATTATGCTTGCTTTTGTTTACAGTGACTTTGTGACAAATCCAGGGTTCTGGTTAGCCTTTCTGGTTGCAGAAGTGTCCCATGTTGCATATTCAACTTGGGGTCATTCTTACTGCTTTTTTATTACATAAAGAATGCTTAAGTCATTAATCTTCTCACACCTAACCAAAATAGCTCTTTATCTCAATTGATGGCACAATAGTCCACTAGTCACCCCGCTACAAACCTGTCCTCTTTCCTAGACTATCCTCCCTCACTCCCGATTTAAATGTCCTTCCAATAATCATAAAGTCCTTTCGGTTTTGCTTTCTTTCTTTTTTTTTTTTTAATGTTTATTTTTGAGAGAGACAGAGAATGTGAGTAGGGGAGGGGCAGAGAGAGAGGGAGACACAAAATCAAAAACAGGCTCCAGGCTCTGAGCACAGAGCCCCATACGAGGCTCGAACCTGGAAACCACGAGATCATGACCTGAGCCGAAGTCAGACACCAAACGACTGAGCCACCCAGGCTTCCAGTTTTACTTTCTACCCCTATTTTGACCTATCGCTTCTGCTTCCATGCCTTAAGGTCTCATCTGGCTAACTTCCGTTTGTCATCTTAAAAGAGTTTCAGTGACATCTCCTCTGGGTTAGGTCGCCTGTCTTGGGCCTTATTCTGCCCCTGCCTAGCCCTATTGTTTATCCTTAGGTGATGTTCTCCTGCACCACTTTGTGAACTCCTCAAAGGAAGGAATGGGTGGGACCTATTGACTGTTGTATCCTCAGCCTCTGATTTAGGGACTGGTATATGTAAGGTGCTAAGTAAATGTTGTCAACTGGATGAACGAGTAAATAAAACTTTTCTTCAGTGACCCGCATGCCTGTTTTATATACCATACTGAGGAAAAATAATGATCTAATTACCCAGGGGTAATGATATTGAATATATAATCATTTAGTGTCAAGGCACTCCATGAAAACAAACAAACAAACAAATAAACAAAAACCACAAAGCACTCCCTGGGGGAAGAAAAAGCACTCTATAAAATTCCAGAGCTTTTCTTTTTCCTGTTTATGTTTTAATATTTTTCAGTTATGTGTTTTAAGGAGGGATAATAATAATTTTCAAAAACTTGCCTTTATGTATGACTTTTCTCATCGCTTTAACATCTCAGTAATTAAGAGCATTGCCATCGCTGTCCACCACATGTGGGTTCAAATTCTAGTTTTCCTCTTAAGCTGTTCTTAACCACTCTGACACTAAGTTAGTTTCACTTTGATGCAGTTATTGTCTGAATATTATGCAGTTGCTTTATGTGAGTCTGTATATGTAGAGAATGCTAGGTAGGATATCGTAAGAAGGCATACCTTGAGCTAAGAAGTCAAAGTAGGAGTTTCTGCGGATGTGACCTAGCTAGTCCCTGTTGATGCTTTGTCCCTTATCCCTTCTGCCTCCTTGAGTTCACCTGAAACCATGGAGGGCAGTTCTAATATATCAGCAACTTACTAGCTCAAGTGCTGTGTCTCTTCTTTCTGTCTGAAGGCACAAGCACAGGGAGTCTGGGGGAGGAGGGGAATTAACCTCTCCAGTCGGTAGGAGATGGGAGTTAATGGATAAATGTCCCAGCCTCCTGACATCCAATGAGAAGAGTCTAAGGCATGTTTTCCTTCTTGTTTCTCAGAGGCTCTCCAAGAGGAGAACTAGCTATAACAGTACCATACCTAGTAGTGTATCTACTACTGATTGCTCTTTTCCTTGTCTCGCTTTTCCCACTTTCTGTAGCAAATACTTCCTGATTACTTTCCAAACAAACTATATGCCCCTAAATCCTTATGTCGGAGTTGGTATTTGGGGTGCCAATCAAACTAAGCCAAGGCTTAAGGAATATGGAAGCCATGGCCAACCAAATTTGAAAGACTATGACAGTCATAAGCGACAGCTTGTAGCAGTACCAGAACCAACGCTTAAAGGTGGCAGGTTCAAGGGAACTAAAAGAAAGCTCTAGAAGACTTGCTGGAGCAGAAAATGTGAAGAGAAAATTGTGAGGTAGCAGGGGCCAGTTAGTGTTGGGCCTTAGAACACATTGTCACCATTTTGACATGATTTCAGAGAGGGTTGGATGTGGATTGAATGATTTCAAGTGGGGGAGTGATGTGCTAGATAATATGGAGAATGACTTCTAGGGGAATTGGAGCCAAGCCTAGGAGGAAGTTATTAGGAACCTACATTTGGAAAGTATTATCCACAGAGAAATGGTGGATTTCACCGTTATTGAGAAGGTGGCATCTTTCTAAATTTGCATTGCTATTCCTTCAGTGTCCGTGAAGCGGTCATGGTGGTAACTAGGGTAAACTGGTCCTTTACACAGGGAAGCATTTCAATTATTGATACTGTTCTTCAGAATAATATATGAACAAAATCTCCTTGAGAATGTCTTTATTTCTCAAGAAAAGTCAAACTTATATATGTGTGTGTCTCATTCTTCTTTTAAAAATATTGAAATGTTTGTGGTGGCAGAGACACTAATATCCTATTCCTCTGGTTCATCTTTGGTAGAGTAATTGATAGCATTTGTGAGTAATACATATTTAAACCAAACTCCTACTCTGGAAGTAAGGGTTCCGAAGGGTGATGAATTTTACCAGTTTGCTCATGAGCATGGAAATAAATTACAACGATGAAGAGCACTATACCACAGCAAGCGCCTTTATAAAATTATTTTGGATGTCTTTTATGAGATACCCAATTTTGCCATTGGAAGCTTTTATTTTAGGGTTATTAGTAACCACTCATTTCAGTTAGTGCCGTGAAAATGGGTTTTGTTGTTCCCATCAGTCAGCATAAAATAAAAATGGTGATAAACCCTCTCGGAAGATGCAGCTCTCATTACAAAGGAGGGAATGAAAACCTAATTGAAAGTTACTGTAAATTTTGAATCATTAATTTCGTGCCAAATAAGTCATTAGAAATCTCTGATGGATGTAAAAACGTGATCATTTGCAAAATTGGAATGAGCAAAATTCAATCTAGATATACCTCTCTATTTTTTTTTAATTTGTATATTGGGAGAGCTGTAATATACACTGTTGAATTTCAACATGAAAACCTTTGCTGTAGGTAATTTGTGTGTGCTTTTGGGCTCTAAACCAGGTAATTAATTTCTTTCTGTCTCCTTTTATTTCAGTTGGTCATTTTTGTTATAACTCACTTTTTTCTTGCTTCTTGCATAATAATAATATATCTGGTTTATATCACTTCAAACATATGAAAAATCGAAGGTTTTTTGTTTTGCTTTGTTGTGTTTTGTTTTTATTTTACTGTATATAATATATATATATTTATTATATAAATTATATGTGTATTTAATATATAAATATATGATATAAAAATATAAATACATATTTTATAAATAATACAATAATAAGTAAAACTACATATATATGTATGTATATATGGTCCCTTTTTTCGAACAAAGAGGGGTGAAATTTATGAGCTTTCTTCTTAAGTCTCTCCAGTTTTCTTCTAAAGTAGTTAAGTAGGCAAAGTAGTTCTCCAATAAGCAGCATTTTTTTATTCTTTGACTCTGTGCTTTTCAAAGTGGACATAATATACCAAATACAGAGAGTTTATCGCACCAAAAATAAAAATATCTGCAGGTCTAGATCGGAGTGCAAGCTATCTTGTTACATGAAACCGCCTTTCATTATGAAATGTACAGAAGACAAATTGAATACATAATTACATAAAATAAATTTTTTGCTGTCTTATTCAGTGAAACTTGATAGATGACATGTTCTACTGTGTTGGAGAAAACTAATCAAACTAAAAATAGAATCCTAAAATAAATTGCTCACCATGATGACTGAACTGATTCTCAGTGGACGACTAAGAGAATTGGAGAGAATAGCTTGAATCACAGTTGAAAGTTCCAGATTCTTTTTGTAAGCGAAGAACAGACCAATAGACCATCACAGCCAACTTTTTTCTTCTCACATACTTCGAACACTTAATTACCAGAGAAAAGAAATCCTTTATTACCACCAGGGATTCAAGGTCGAACAGTCAACTACAATAATAGTAGTTCAAAGTAGAAGCATCATTTTTTTTTTAACTGGAAGGCTTTCATTTTACATTTACGATTATGTACATTATTGATTTTCTTTTCTGGTTGTTGTTCCTTGCAGAGAGTGAATCTGTCCTTCGATTTCCCATTTTATGGCCATTTCCTACGTGAAATCACTGTGGCAACTGGGGGTAAGTGTTTTTCTACCCATCCACCCTAAATAATCTACAGTTTCACTATAGTTATTTTTAAATTACTTTACATTTCAAGAGGGATATTTATTGGGAAAACCATTGCCTTCTATCACAAAGTTACGGGTGTAAATCAAATCTAAGAAAGAGTATAGCTATTGGAAAAACTTCAGCAGGAAAAAAAGGTGGAGTTATAATTTTCAGCTTAGATTCATCTGTTTTCTTTCTACTTTTTTTTCCTTCTTTTTCCTTCTGTGTTTTAATTCATCTTATGGTAAGACTGCATAAATGGGAATAGACCTAGAAAAGAAAAAGGTGTTTAAGGAACCTGCTGCGGTATTTTTCTTTCTTTTAATGTATGTAGTTGATTAATATAAATATGTATACACACATCCTCATTATATTACCTTTAATTATTTGCCCCTCCCCCACTCTTTAATACCACCTATGTTGACTGGCAACTAATTTGAATTTTAAAAGTAAACACTGAGATTCAGCTGGGATTCTTTTAGTTTTATTTTTCTGCGCAACCTTTGGAGATTAGTATAGAGATTAGCAATACTCTTGAAAGGCAATTATCATTTTTTTAGTGTATCCCAGAAGTCAGAAAAATTTAATCCTTGAGTGCTACTAGCAGAGATAAGCAAAAGGCCAGAGAATATCCCTGTGTTCTGAGGGAAAAACATAAACATGGAAGCGTAAGTCAAGAAATAAGTTAAAAGAAAACCAGAGGTGGAATGGAGTCTACATACAGAGCACCCATGTCTAATGCACCTTAGACAGGAGTCCCTTTCCTTCACCACGTTTCATTATTGATCTTCTGAATGGTAAGGAAGTCATGTGGATCACTTGTGCCACATTTTAATATAAAATTTAGAAGATACATAGGATTCAGAATAAGACTTATAACCAGAAATATCAACAAACAAACAAAAGTTTTTGAGCACCTACTCTGAACAATGGGAAATAAAGCTATGTCTGCCTTGGGATTATATAGCCTAGGGGACTATTAGAGTGAAGCAGAATGTGGGGGTTCCTTAGAAAATACATATGATGAAATATGGGTTTCCAGGGATGACAAAGCTGAGCCATCTGTTTTGAAAGTCCAGTAAGACTTTATAGAAAGATTGCTATTTATGATATTTCTTAAATGATGTCTCAGTTTCTGTGGTTATGTAGGGAAGGAAGCGTAGGTCCTACAGAAGAACATCTTGAGTAAATACACAGAAGAAGAAATGGGTAAGGTGTATGTAGGATAGCAAATAATTGAGTTTGAGAGAAGCTGGAAGTAGATTTACAAAAAAAAAAATGTGACATATTAAGAAGAGAAAGGTAGATTGGGACAATTTTATATATTGCCTCAAGAGTCTATGTGAGTCATTAGTCCTTAATTAGTAAGTAATAAGCTTTAAGAAGCTGAACCCAGACGTTCGTATAATGCCTTCAAGTGTAAAAAGACTGGGGTTGCTACATATAATTGGAAGAATATTGCAATAGTTTGTGTGGCACATATTGAGAGCTTTGGCAAGTCTGTGGCTTTTTCAAATCAAGGGAGAGAAATGATGCTGTCAGCAGAAATCACAAACTCAAGCAGAAGAGCTGGTTTTAGGGAATGCCAATAGCTTCAGTTCTGACACTATTAAATTTTGTGTAAAGAAAGGACTAAATATAAGCAAAATTCACACAAGGACCATGTCTTTTTGAGCTTGCCATGCATTTCTGTGCTAGTATGATGCATGGCTCTTAATAGACATTTAATTAATGTGTTGAAGGATTGAGATAAAAGGAAAAAGGTAAAAATGAAAGATGGCCCCCGACACTATGAATTACATCATGCTTCCTAGCATCTTTGAAGTATGATATGAACATGGCTATTTTATAAGCTGGACATTAAGCACATTTTCTAACATCTGAATTTTAAAAAGTGTTCCACTGAATTTTAAACAGTGAATTATTAACCACGTTTGTTCAAAATCTGTACACACAGTGGTGAAAATACGGACCCCTTTGATTTTCAGCTTCTCAAATTGTTTTATCTTTAAAAGTCATGTCGGTGATTCAGCCAATATGAACTAAGATTTCCCTTAGCTGAGTTGGTAGGAAAGAAACCCAAACAAATAGCTATATCATCTTTACTGCTTCAAAGTACCAATTTCCTTTGAAAAGATCCTCAAGATAAGTGAAAAATCTGGTATCTTAAATGATCTCCATCTTCTTTGAAGAAAGCACTAATGTAAAGAAACATTTTTTTCTCTCTACTTAAAACATGCTAGCATCGAACTTGCACATATAAATCTACACCCTGCTTAGAGAGGCATAACTGAGATAATTTAGACACTCACCTGGGTTTCTTCAAAACAAAACAAGAATCTCCTGTAAAAGTTTTTGACTAAATAAAAAGTTTGTTTGTGCATTTATTGTTTATTTATTCAGTCAGTATTGATTGAATCCCTACTGTGTGAAAGGCACAGGATGTGATATTTCACTATATCCAGAGAAGGGTAAAATATGGATCCTGCTCAGGATCTTAGAATCTAAGAAGAGGAAGGAGCGGGGGGCCTGGGTGGCTCAGTCGGTTGAGCACCGACTTGACTCAGGTCATAATCTCATAGTTTGTGAGCTCGAACCCCGCATCGGGCTCTGTGCTGACAGCTCAGAGCCTGGAGCCTGTTTCAGATTCTGTCTCTCTCTCTCTCTGCTCCTCCCCTGCTTGTGCTCTGTCTCTCTGTCTCTCTCTCTCAAAAATAAATAAACATTAAAAAAATTTCTTTTAAGAAGAGGAAGGAGTATATAACTAAGCGTCAGAGGACGCTGACTCTAAATACTGGAGGGGCAGAAGGTTGCTCCCAGGCCATTCCCGTTGGGCCAGTCAAGAACAGGTTTGTCACACTGGCCTTGAGGGAAGGTAGAATTTTAGTAGGCAGAGAGGCAGGTTGAAAAAAACATGGGGAGGGAAGGAGCATTCCAGACAAAGGGATGCTGAACTAAGGGACAGTGCTGAACCTGTAGCCAATATATCTGGAGGACTGTCACGTACATCTGTTTATCCCGATTGGAGGGTTGGAGTTAAAGTCTAGCGAGAGGAGATGAGAAGAGTGATGTGAAATACCTCGAATATTACCGATTTGATGATATCCAGCAGGTATGAGGGTTTTCTGAGTAGAGAACAGATCTGGCCTGTGCTGGCCGTGGAGAGCAGGGTAAGGCGAGGGCGGCCAAGGCAAAGAAAGCAATTAACAGCAGGGCTTTGGGTATTTCTGCATGGATCGTGGCGCCTTAACCAGGGCGTGTGCAGTGAAGAAGGAGAGACAGAGTCAGTGCAAGACACATCGCTGAGCTCTTTAATCACTGTGGTTGCAAAGGTTTCCAGGCCACAGGATCCATTAGGATGTGGCGAGTAAAGCTAAGAACCTCTTAATGGGGGACTTCTGAACCACAGACTTTTGATGGGTCCCGTCTGTGATTGACTAGGTGTGATAGGCAGGTGGACCCTCCTGACAAATACCGTCGTGAATCACGAAACCTGCGTTGGGCATGATGCAGTTCGCGTCGACTTCAGCGGAATTCCTGATCTCACGGTCCGTGGGATTGAGCCCAGCGTCAGACTCTGGGCTGATGGCTCTTCGGGCCTGGAGCCTGCTAAATTCTGTCTCTCCTCTCTCTCTCTGCCTCCCGGTTCCATGCTCTGTGTCTCTCTCTGTCCCAAAAAATAAATAAACGTTGAAAAAAAAAAAATTAAAAAAAAAAAGAAATCTTGAAAAGTCATTACCCATGAATGGTTTGCGAGAAAAATTGAAACCACGGGTGAGGTTAAATCCAGTTGACTGCAGACCATTCTAAATAGACCCGGGACTGGGATTTTTTAAAGAGGGACGCATAGGTGTCTGTGAAACAGAAATGAATATTCTATCGACTGTCAGTTCTCCTCAACTGTATCTACAGATGTCTCTTGAACCTGTTTTTACATGGGATTTGGGAAAAAGAAAGTGAAATGTTAAAGTGGATACTTTAAAGTACAATCTCCTTCATTCCTACTACGCTGTTTTCCCGTTTCCCATGCCTCCTTAAAATCCAGCCCCCACCCCTCTTCTCTCTCGCCGTTCACATAGACACAAATTTCTTTACGACCGAAATGAGCTTAAAGATGTCTTGTGTCATTGCTAAGATCAACACCATTTCAAAACAGAAAATGGTTTAACAATACAGACATATAATTTATTGTGACCCGTCTTTGTATTTAAATATACATATTTCTTTATGAATAAACTTAAGTTTCAAGCAAAAAATGTAAACAAAAACTTAAGCTTTGACCACTCATTTATAAATTATAAAAATGAATCTTTGTTTATTAAGCATTTTAATTTTCAAAAGCTTCAGTCATCCATACAAATAACGCACAAAGTGAATTAGAAACACCATCTTATTTTCTGGTTCACTGGTAACAGAATCTGAAAGCATTCATTTATCTTTCTATTTCAAAAATACTTCAGAATATAAATATTTCAGGCATTAAAAAACTAGTGCTCTGTGCATCTCATAAAAATATTTCCATTAATGGCGCCACTAAGCTGTGTTGTTGGCATATCACACTGCCTTCATTTTCTCTCTAATACTCTAATTGGTTATTTTTTATTATTAGGCTGCTAAGGTGATATTTTAAGTGTTTCAGAAAGCAGATTTAAGTATGGCGATTTGATTTTTAATTCCTGTGACCACCACTTATAATGACATTTTTTTCATGAGCCCATCATGGGAACCCAAAACTATGATGAGAGAAAAGGCAGGGGTGGGTAAGAGGTACTTTAAATAAAAGGAAAGAGAAGGGTTGACAATATCCAGACAATTCGGGCCCCAGAATTTAAGTATGTAGACAGATGCCGGTTCATAATTAAAATTGTGTGTGGAATTGCCGACAGTTGCACATGAGATCAGCAACCAAAGATGATATAAATTTAAAAGATAATGATGAATATGTATTACTTACCTTGATTGAATGAAGG